CGTCGGAATTTTATTCCAATATTAACATAATTATATATAATAATAAAGGCGGTGGTGACCTTTTCCATTTTCTATTAATGCGAATCTATGGTGGACGGTTACATTTTTTTTTTTAAAGTACTTTCAAATCATAATATTGGCGGTCACATTCAATAGAGTTTTCCCCGATCCTATATTAATACATACAGGGTTTATTTCAAACGATATTGATTGTATTCATAAATAATTAGATTTTTCTCATTAAAACAACCTTCAAAATAAATCTTTCTAAATGAGTTTATTAAAAATTTTTCAAAAAATTATTATGAGCAGTGATATTATTTTAAATCTTGAATGGGTTAAAATTTTACTTGTTGTTTTTGTTTTGTATGTTGTAAGATTTTATTATAAATATTTTACTCGTACAAATCCTCTCAATGGACCTATACCGTTACCACTTATTGGTAATATACATCTTTTTGGATTAGGGATGTCGAAGGCTTTGTCAAAAGCAACAAAGCAATATGGCAATACATTCGAGATTTACCTTATGACACAGCGATGTATTGTTGTATCTGATCCAAAGGAGGTTGAAAAAGTTCTTAATAATTCACCAAGAAACAAATTTTTTAATAGGCCTGAATTAGGTTCACTTCATGAATACAAGCTTAACAATGGTGTGGCATTTAATAATGACTACCCAGCATGGCGATATAATCGAAAATTTATTGCACAAGCATTATTGTCACCAAGGCTTTTAAAAGAATCGGTCACCACCGGTCAACAAAATTTTGACAAATCAATGAAATATTGGCAAATAAATCATGGGACAAAAAAAGAATTTGTTGTTAATATAGCAGAATGGGCAAGATCTTATACAACTGACTCAAGTTTTAAATTATCAACTGGTATACCCGCTTATTCATTAGCTTCCTACAACAAAATTTCATTGGATGATGTGAAGAATGATAATATTGAAGAAAGATGCTCACAATACTTGATGGATATTTCACAAGAATTTACGGATTTAACAGATGTGTTTTTTAAATCTCTTTTGAAAATTATGATGATTCCATCATTTATGCAGAATTATTTTCCAATTATCAAAGATCAGAAGAAACAATGGATTCGTAATGTTTCTAGAATTAGAGAAATCTTACATGTGATTGTTAAAGAACGCAGAAAAGAAATTGAAAAAGAGCCACTGAACAAACAGTTGAGACCAGATTTATTAACAACTTTATTGACATTGAATACTGAACGTGACAGAAACAATACTTTTGGTGAATTACCACCAATGGATGAACAACAAATTGTTGCAAATATATTTGAATCTGTTGCTGGGGGAATTGACACTGTAAGCATTGTGATAAAATATGTGTAGTATTACATGGTATCATATATTAGCATACATACATATAAATATTCCTAACTTAACTTTTTAATTTTTTTAGACAGCAAATATGATTAGCATAGGGCTCAATCTTATTTTGGCACATAAAGAGGTTAAAGAAAAGATGCTGGAAGAAATTAATCAAGTATTTGCTGATAACTCAAAACGTCCAATGACACATGAAGATTATGAGAAAATGGAATATTCTCAAGCCGTTGTGAAAGAATTTTTAAGGTATCACACTATAGCACCAGCATTGATTCGCCAGACAACATCAGAAAATGCAGAAATTAGTGGCTATAATTGGCCAGCTGGTACATGCGCTTTTATAGATGTTAATGGATTGCAGAAAAACCCTGATTGTTGGGAAGATGCCGATCAATTCAAACCAGAACGGTTTCTAGAATGTGAGGTAGACAAAATAGGCAAATATACTTATACACCTTTTGGTGGTGGTGTACGCATCTGTCCTGGTCGTCTCATGGCAAGGATTACAATAGCTTCAGTTCTTATTAATTTATTGAGAAATTATGATATTGAATATTATGAGAAAGAAAATCAACTCAAATTTATTGATAGTTTCATAAATGTTGTAACTGATTTTAAAGTTATTCTTAAACCCAAAAATTAATTTAATCTTTGGGGCATAATTTTCTTGTTATCATGTTTTAAATAAATAAAATGGTTCCCTATGTTAGTATTATGGCGAAACTTGAAACTTTAGTCATTGACTATTGGATGTAAATAAAAAACCCTACCACTATACATTATACATGACCTTTATTTTGTTTCCCAAAAATGTCAATCAATTCTTCTTAAACTTTTTTAGGAATATATCCAAGTTTGCTCAAAACCTCGTTTACTTGTTATTCATAATCACATCTGTCTTTTATCGAAGCTCCAAGTTATATTATCACATAAGTTTTGTAGAAAGACCCAATAATAGTTCTTATCATCTGGTGTAAAAAGCTAAGTATTTTTTTTTTGATTTTACACATATACAGTAAACCTCTATATAATGAAACATTTATCTGGAATATTCATGTTCATTATAGAGAAGTTTCGGTTTACATGTATACCGAATTTATTTGCAAATTTTGTAGAGAAAATTGAAATATAATTATTTATTGAACATAAAATATAGATTTTGAACCATTGAAAACAGTTATGTCTAATTTTTCAGCTTTTTTTCAAAGAGCAGGATCAGAGGGATCTGATCATATAGTAAAGAATTGTCTACCTAAATTATCATGGCCTTTCTAATTCCTCATGTCTTGGTTTTTGTTCCTGATAACTAGTAGCTTGAACTGAACTCTCATTTACAGCTAACCATTTATCTTTAGCTTTGAGTGTATCAATAATGGTTGATACACACCACATCCATAATTCAACATTAGATGGTTCAGGTCTTTAACTTATCAGCTGTAACAGTTGTCTTCCTTTTCATTTAATTAAATTACAAAAATTTATTTTAATGTCATTAGATCATCATCACCAATCATATTTGTAATAAGGTAAAAAAAAATATAAACTTCGCTTGTGAGTATGAACAAGATCTTTATATTGTCTTAGAACTGATAATCTTTCTAAATGCGCTAACTTACCTTCCGAGAGTCTATCTGCATTAAATGCACATATAGCCCATTGTAGACAGTTATTATCCTTGGTCTCACTGTTATCGGGATTTATTGTTCCCTTTGTGTTTGTGAGATTTTTAGGAGTCTCTATATAGCTTCCTACTCTGGCAATAATATATTGCACTACTTGAACATCAATATATATTCCTTTCTTAAATTTATATCCTGATAAAAAGTAAATAAATTTACTAATCATTTGACATATTTGGTCATAAGAATTAGATATAAGTTCATCATTAATATTACTTTCATTAAAGATGTAATCCATTGTAGTTTTGAATGTGTGATCTTCTTCATGATTTCTCATATATGAAACACCATCTTCATCTGTTTCCATGACAGTCCTCTCCATAGTTGCTTGTAATAAGATTGAAAATTGAATTCTTTTTTTCTTTGATTGCTCTAATCTTAAAACACTCTTGATTTTCTCTTGGACACTTTCTAGAAGCAATAATTCATCTTCATTCACTTCATTATCTTTTGGTACTATTCCTCTATGAATAGCAATTATATTTCTTTGCATCATCTATTCAGTTAACTCCATCTCTCTGAATATTATTTCTTTTTCTAGAATATTTGACAGTTTTTTCTTTTGGACTCTAGCCTCTTCTCTTCTTTGTGCTTGACTGCTTGATTCAGCAGGAGACTCTGGGATTATTTCATTTTTCTTACCTTTCCCTGAAGGAATAGATTGTTTGATAATATCAATGGGCTTTTTGAAAGATTTTAATATGTCTCCCAAACTATGACATGTTGGTTGCCCAATAAATACTCTCCCACTATGTCTGTTACGAATTTCTTCTATGATGGGAGATTTGATTTCTGGCTGAGCTGGTGCTTGTTCTGAAACTATATTGTTGACACCACTGAGCTTTTCTTTGATTCCACTGATGATAAAACCAATGTGTGTGAAAATGTCAGACATCTTTTTTTAACAAATATATTTATAAAATTATATGTCTAATTCAAAAATTTGGGTACAAGATTCAAAAAAATATTTTTATATAGATAGCAGAAATGTTTAATTCGAAAATTTTATTAATTTATGGCATTGATGATTATGGAATGAGACGTATTTTCATCTACAAACCTTTTAAAACTTGCTATTTCATTACATATTTGACCCATATCTTCTCTAACTTTTTCAAGTATATATAATTTTTTTTCATGTCATTAAATAATAGTTTGGTTGGCTCATCAAATTCTTGATAATGCTCATAATCATCATAATCATCATAATTCACATAATCCACATAATTGTCAAGATCTTCAAATATATCTGGAAGATTACTCCTTGCTTCTAAATAATTGTTCAGTTCAATCAAATGTGATTCATTTAATTCTTCATGAATTTTCTTAAGCTTTTTAATTATCCTTCCATATTCATCTAACCTATCAAGATTTTGACATCTTATAAAGCTATCCAATTTATTGATCCTTTTTAATCACAACCATTCCATTATGTCATCTTGATCAATATATAATTGTCATCTTCCCTCTTTATACCATTACATTTGCAATTTTTTTTGGATCTTTAATTTGCTTTGTAATTTGACCAATTAGTTCTGGTGGTAACTTAAACACCGGAGGATTAATTTCTACATACTCTATGATCTCTCTTACCTCTACTAGGTCTCTGACCTCAAACGGGTCTTTGCTATCATCTAGGTAAGAAATTGCTTTAGCAATATAGTTAAAAGTTCAGATGATATAAGATAACATTTTTTGCTTTCTTTTTATATAGATAGCAGAAATGTTTAATTTGAAAATTTTATCAATTTATTATTTTTTCTAGTTTCATTATCTGATGTGCTATGCATGTCTCGCTCATTTCACTTGCTCTCCTGTTAACTATTATTTTTTCTAGTTTCATTAATAGACATGTGAAGCATGTCTTGCTCGTTTCACTTGCTCTCCTGTTAACTATTATTTTTTCTAGTTTCTTTAATAGACATGCAAAGCATGTCTCACTTGTTTCACTTGCTCTCCTGTTAACTATTACATCAAAAATTTTTTTTCTTGTATTAGATCACATAGTAAATTTACATATATGTTATAAAAATTAATGCTATTGAAATTAGTATGAATCAGGTCTCTTGAGCATCTTGTGAATATATATGCTAAAAAAATTAATGCTATCGAAAATTAGTATGAAACAGGTCTGGAGAACCAAATAGTGCACTCTGTGCCAGAAACACCCATAGTACACAACATGACTGGTAACTTTTTTCCAAGCTTTTGCTGTAAATTTAATTGCATGTTTTAATTGAAATTTTTCATATTGTTGACAACATGGTGGAAGTTTGATTTTATTGGATATAAAATGTGACAAAATAAAATTTAGGTTTTTACCAAAATTAGAAAATTT